AAATGTTTATGATAATAACAATGTTATTGTGATTGATGTACCCCCAGACAACAAAATAAATATGTATTCTATTGGTGAAACCAAAGCTAATATTTGTGATGTTCATAGTATTTTTGATGATAATATTGTAATGGAGAACCGAGATCCACGTCATAGTAATGGTATTTTTAAAGAAAAATATGAATCTTTTACTAATCAAGAGACTAATATTGCAATGGAAGTAATTGAAAATAATGATCCAGTGGAATCTAAGATTGTACAATGTAATGTTGAAGATAACGTTAATTGGCAGAATTTGAATATAGAAGTGAACAGTACTGGTATTTTTCAAGGTGAAAATGAATCTTTTATTGAACAAGAACCTAACATGGAAATAGAAATTAGTGTAGAAAATGAACCAATAGAATGCCAAATTGTTGATGTATTAGATGTGGTAGGAGAAGGTGGTCTGAGGAAGTCAAAAAAAAGTAATCAACGCAAAATTAATTCATATTCAAGAATAGCTGGAAATTCATATACAAACAGGAAAGGTGTTTTGGTAGGTAATAAATTAATGCAGACAAATCCTTGTAAATCAATGAAATGCCAAAACAAATGTGGTAATATTGATGAAATTGTTCGACAAGAAATATTTGATTCATTCTATGCGTTAGATTATCAACAACAAAAAAATTATTTAGTTTCTTCTGTAAAAACTGATACTGTAAAAAGGAGGTACACAGATAATTGTACAAGCAGGAGATTATGCACTAAATATTACTTTTTACCTGTGGAAGGAGAACAAAGAAAAGTTTGCCAACAGTTTTTATTAAAAACTCTGAACATTTCTCAAACTCATTTAAGGTATACAGATTTACACAAAACTAACATATTTACAGCCAAAACAGAAGGAAGAGGTAAAAAAAATCCTTTGAATAAAACAAATGTTGTTGTAAATAAAGGTGTTGAAGATTTTATTAAAAAATTGCCTGCGGTTCCTTCCCATTACTGCAGAAACAGTACAAATAAAAAATACTTACCATCAGAACATAAAAATATTTCTGCAGTTTACCGGGCCTATAAAACTGAGTGTGAAACTGCAATTCCTAAAATACTTCATGTAAAACAAAAAGTTTTTCGTGAAATTTTCACAAAAAAATTTAATATTGGATTTCATTTACCCAAAAAAGACAAGTGCAATGTATGTGAAAAAATTAAAAATACACCTGAAGAAAGTTTGTCGGAGGTTCAAAAGAAAAAGTTTGAAAAACATAATAGTGATGCAGCACTTTCTAAAGATGTCCATTTAAGAAACCAAGAAAGATCTAGAAATGACCCATCGTTTATTTGCACAAGCTTTGATTTGCAAAAGGTTTTAAGCACACCCCATGGTAATAGTATTCTACTATTTTATTCAAGAAAATATGCAATGTACAATGAAACATTCTATGAAACAGGAACCAAAAATGGATATAGTTTTGTGTGGGGAGAAGAAAATGGCAAGAGAGGAGCAAATGAAATTTGCACAATTTTACACAAGTACTTATCCATTGTAGAAAGTAGGTCTATTGTTCAAACTGTTTCATTGTTTTGCGACTCTTGTCCAGGACAAAACAAAAACAATCAAATATTAGCAGCTATTTTATGGTTTATGATGAACAAAGCAAACAATATCAAGTTTTTAACCATAACTTACTTACAGCCTGGACATACCTACATGCCGGTCGATTCAATGCACTCCATAATTGAATCAAATTTGAAAAAAAAAATCATCTGGGCACCATCTGAATGGCCAACAGTCATTTTAAATGCAAGGTTTAATCCAAAGCCGTATGAAGTGTTTACTTTACAACATGATGATTTTATGGACTACAAGACTTTGCAAATGAATATATTCCCAAAATTAAATAAAGCTGACGATGGTTCAAAAATTAAAATAAGTGATATTAAAAGAGTTTCATTTACTAAACAGTCCCCAGTTTTAACTTTACAATACTCCTTTGATCCAGATTCTGATAAAAAGGAAGTTACAGTAGCTAAACCAAAACAACGTAGAGGATCAAACATTTCAGTGCTACAACCAGCTTATAAAAAAAAACTTTCAATATCTATTCAGAAATATAATGACTTGTCTAAGCTATGTAAAGATGGTGTAATCCCATTAAGATATCACCCAGAGTTTCTTGCAATGTCTGGAAGAACAAATGTCAATGATACATTAGCAGAAACAGATGAAGAAGATGAAGTAAAAGATGATGCACCAGAGTTCGAAGAAATGTAAACAGTTGTTTTATTACATTCGTCATTGATTCATTAAGTTTTTTTAAATAAATAAAAAGGATTATTTATATATTAAATGTTATGCTTATATTTTATTTACTGTTGGTTTATTTCATTAAGTTTTTTTTGAATAAATAAAAAGGAACTATTATATTATTTTAAACGTTAGACTTGTATTTTATTTACTGTTTGTTTATTTCATTAAATCTTTTTAAATAAAAAGGAACTATAATATTTTAAATTTTATACTTGTATTTTATTTACGGTTTGTTTATTTCATTAAGTTTATTTATATTTTAAATGTTATGCTTATATTTTATTTACTGTTGGTTTATTTCATTAAGTTTTTTTAAATAAATAAAAAGGAACTTTTATATTTTAAATGTTATACTTGTATTTTATTTAAAGTTTGTTTCAAAATTATATTAATCTGTTGCATAGTAATTATAATAATATAACTATGTGAATTTAATTGCTTATGATCTCCCATAAATATAAGGTGTTACTGCCTTAGATTTTTTTAATAAAATAATATAATAATATTAACATTAATAATATATTTTATATTTTTAATAAATAATAATATTATATTGAGGGTTACATTCTTTGAACATTTTTAGTTAAATTTAATCTGTGTGATGTATAAATAATGTATCCCCAAAAGCTTGTAACGTAACCCACCGTTTAAAATAGCAATCCATGTAAAATACTGTAACCCTCAACTTCCTTCAATTTGAAGCACAGTAAGTAGTTTAAAAATAATTTCTAACTTTTAATTGTATAATTATTTATTAAAATACGTAATCAACAATAAACCAATTAAATTTTAACTTCATTGGATAATTTTTAACAAAACTATTAAGATTTTAGTCTCTCCTGTAAAATTTCATTTTTGTGGCTTACATTACTTGGCTTTTCCACCATCGATATGATTTATTTTAATAACAAGCTGATATGCTAATTTTTTCAGTGCTGATAATAAACAATGGGAGCCTACTCCCTATTCCAGAATATGTAGTGCTAATTTTATTGGTGGCTAAATATTCCAAACATCCTCAGAGTCCAGCATACAGTCCTACATTATTTCCTGTTATTTACAAAAAAAAGCAATTTATCAAAAGAGAGTATTGACCGTTTTGATCGTTGTATAAATAGATCTATCCACAACTGCAGTACATCTGCAGTATCAACCATAGATACAAATATTTTACATGAATCGGACAATTTCACAGAATCACAAAGTAATAGTAATAGTTTATGTAAAAATGTAGCTATTCAATGTTCTTCAGTTATTGTGAGCGATACTTTTGAATTTAGTTGTGAATTTTTTAACAACAGTGTTAGTACCCAAGCAAATATTGTAAATGTTGAAACTTTATACTTTAAACCTGTAATGGTAGATGCTAGTGTAGGTTGTGTAGATTCAGCTTTAGAATATTTTTGTGGTTACCAGTCAATTAAAAATGAAAAACACTTAATTTCTATTGCTGGAATAAATCAAGAGATTTTTAATTTATTTCTTATATACGTTCCAGAACAGTGCCATTCAAAAAAGAGCAGGGAAGATAGGCTATTATTATGTTTGGTTAAAATAAAATTAGGAATAACATTTACAGCAGTATCAATATTTTTTAAATTACATCATTCTACATGCTCAAGAATTTTTAAATCTTTGTTATCAATATTAGTGTCGAATACCAAATCATTTATATTTTGGCCAAGCAAGCAGTCAATTATTTCTACCTTACCAATGGCATTTAAATTACATTATCCTAATTGTCGGGCAATAATTGATTGTACTGAGATAAAAACTGAGCAGCCTCCCAATGTTAATCAATGCGTTTTTATGTATTCAAATTATAAATCAGCTTAAATTTTTAATTGTTATTGCTCCAAATGGTATGATAACATTTTTGTCTAAAGCTTATGGGGGAAGATCCAGTGATAGTTTTATAACTAATGATTCAGGATTTTTAAATTTATTAGAACCTGGTGATGAAATAATGGCTGATAAAGGTTTTCCAGGAATAAAGACTGCTGTAGGCGAAAATAACTCTGTATTAGTCATGCCTCCTTTTATGCACAATTGGTACTCTAACTCAAGATGAAATTATAAATACCTACCAAATTGCCAGTGTTAGGATTCATGTTGAAAGATCAATTCAAAGAGTAAAAATTTATAATATATTACAAAAAATACCTACAGAGTTATTAGAGTGTATTGATAAGATCATATTTTTATGTTGTGTTATGACAAATCTGCAACCACCTACAATTAAGGCACCATTTTAATCCTTTATATTTTGTAAACACTTTTACTTAAGAGGTATTTTCTTGTTATAATAATTGTATTTTTATTTTATATACAGGGTGATTATTTTATCAAACAACACTCATTATTTGAAAAAGTATTGACTTTTTTCAAATTTTTTTTTTTTCAAAATTGTAGATTTATGCTGTTCTAGAATTGTATATTTTTTTATATTTTTCACCCTTATTACTTACTTAACATTAATACTTTTTGAAATAATGAGTGTTCAATGATAAAAGAATCACCCTGTATATTATACAAATTTCTAATGAAACTGATTTATTTATTATGCGTACCAATGATACATATTCTTGTGGCTGCCAGCGGCCTCATAGCAGCTAACGTATTAACAGATGAAATTAATTATATACATTATTTAACATAGTTTTTATATATTTTATTCCAGCCTGTTTCATCTGATAAACGGATCATGATAGTTAACGCATATAAATCAGAATTGATGAAAAATCCAAACATAACACTTCGAGATTGTCGTATCGTTATTTCGAAAAACCTTGGTATCGGGCAAAGGACGGTTTCAAACGTGATTAGCGAGTACAATACCAAAAAGACTGTGACTTCTCCATGCAAAACTCGACAAAAAAAAACCTATAAAGATCTATATGATGATCTACAACTTAATACAATTCGTCGACATGTCCATTCCTTTTGGTTTAACAAGACTATTCCGACACTAGATAAGATACTAACAGTTATAAAGAACGACGACAGTCTACCAAATATTTCACGTTCAAACCTACATAATCTTTTAAAATTTATGGATTTCGTCTACACAAAACGAAGTCGGAATAGTGCTCTTATCGAAAAGGACAAAATTATTTTGTGGCGTAGACGATATTTGCAGAATATTAAAAAATATCGTGAAGAAGGACGGCATTTGTACTATCTGGATGAGACATGGGTGAACGCAGGTGACTGTACAAGCAAGACCTGGGTAGATAATACAATTAAATCGTACCGTCACGCATTTCTACAAGGTCTCACGACAGGCTCACAAAATCCATCTGGTAAGGGCAAGAGACTCATTGTTCTCCACATCGGGTCGGAAGACGGTTTTGTACCTGGTGGGCTATTGTGTTTCAGAGCAAAAAAAACCAATACTGACTATCATGAGGAGATGAATGGTAACACATTTTTCAAGTGGATGGAATACATCGACTCAAAGAGAACTGTGTCATTATAATGGACAACGCCTCATATCATTCGGTGAAGTGTGAAAAAATTCCAAATAAATCAACTCGCAAAGGCGATATAATTAAATGGTTAGAGGAAAAGGGCGAAGTGATTGATAGGTCAATGGTAATTACCGAGTTATTAGAAATAGTTAACCGAATTAAACCAATGCACGACAAGTATGCTATAGATGAGCTGGTCAAAACTCACAACCGTACTATTTTAAGACTCCCGCCATATCACTGTGAGTTGAATCCGATTGAACTGGCTTGGTCTTCAGTCAAAAATCACGTGAAAATGAACAACACCACCTACAAATTAAGTGACGTAAAACAATTGTTGATGGAAGGCATTGAAAAAGTTGACGACACCATGTGGAAAAATTTCATTTCTCACACAACATCAGTGGAAGACAAGTTTTATGAGGTTGACTTCCTCATTGACGAAGTGTTGAGCGCAGAATTACAACCCACAGTACTGACCTTAGGGAATACGTCTTCGGATTCTGAAGAATCAAATTAGTAAAATTAATTAATTTTTAATTTTTTTATATTTTTAACGTATTATTAATAATTTGAATGAATACAAATCAAATGTCTACTTAACAAATGTTGTTCTATATATCTGTATCTATCCCAACCTATCTATAAATTGTATGGTATATATACCGGTAGGTATATGAAAAATAATATATGTAAAGAGTGGAAACGTTTTTGTATACACGCATTTTTGGTATGTACGTTATTGTACGTTATTATTACAGTATAATACACGCTGTTAATTAAATTCCCTGTAGAATCGGCGGCAGCGGCGACGATTGTGCCGTCGTCGACCGCCGACGAATGGCGACCAATCACAGAGCAATTATACTCAGCCATGGGGTCCGGACGTCGTTCCACGATTCATTACGATGCGCCAAAGTGGTGCTCTCTTAGCCTGGATAGAGTATAGGTACCTAATTTATGGTTAGAATTATAGTTGTGATATAAATTACAAATTTTATTTTGAACTATGGGTAAACATAATACTAGTAACTACGATTCATATTTCTTATTTTACTACTTTAGTACGCTACTACAACCATTGAGCCATAGTGATTGCTATGATAAATTATAATAGTATTACCCTCCAAAACTTATAGAATAGTCCACGGGGCGCGCTGCATTACAACTTGCACGATGCCTATAATAATGGATAGGGTGATTTTCTAAGCATGTGCACCGTATTTTTTTTGGAATTTTTTAATATATTTGATGACCATATTTTCGAATACTTCAGCTTTTTTATACTACTTGTGACAATACAATTTGTAAAAACAGTATAATAATATTACTACGTCTAATAATACATATAGTTTACAATTTTCTAAAACCATTTTTAAGGATTATTATCCTTAGTATAGACATTTTATTCACTCAGAATTTTGATTTAGATACATCAATATTTTCAAGAAAATCATTCACTAAATAATTTTCAGTATAAGGGGTTCTCATTAGAAAAATAGAAGTTTGTACAGCTACAGGACACTCCTTGCAGTAGTACAACAAATATCAAGAATTTGATAAATTGGTCTTAGTTAATTAATGTACTATTGAAGGAGAAGGTGGGGCAGAGCATGCTTAAAAATTACAAAAATCACTGTATGTTTTAGTTTACATAGGTAGGTACTAAAACCTTGTTTAATTGTACAGTGTTGCTACGCAGTCACTATTTATCACTACTCTCATATTTTTTTTTAATGTTCTCACTTTTTCTCATTGATTTTCCTAAAGACTAACATTTTTAAAGCTCTAAATGTAAATAAGTGTTTGAATTAAATGTTCTACATTTTTATAATTAATAAGTTTTGGGATTATTTTTCAATAAGTTTAAATAATAAAAAAGACTGATTCATAAATAATAATCTTTCTTTTAAAGATACTTTTGGTTTAGAAATTACCAAAGGATTTGTCATATAATTGTTATATTTATGTTAATCTTCAAACTTGTATAGTTGATACATATCATTATTCATTTTGACAGAACCACTGGAAACATGAGTTCCATCGAAACCTCATTGGATGACACATTAACACAAACTGATAATGATAGGAATGATGGTGAATCTCCAGAAATTCCTTCCAACACATGCTCTCCTGTCACCCAGTCTTTTCCACCTCAAAAAAAGAAGAAGACAACGATGATGACTCCCTTTCAAGATACATTACTGGATGCTATAAAGAACCCCTCTCACAGACCTATTGAAACAGAAGATGCTGATAAAGCTTTCCTAATGAATAATATTCAAATCAAATATTGATCAACTGTCGATAATCATACGTTATTGTTTGAATGGTACGGTACATGAAAGATTTCTTGGCTTTGTCTCTTTTCATAGTCATACTGGTGAAGCTCTAGCTACGACTGTCTTAGAATTTCTCAAACGAAGTGGTATCGATATTGCCAACTGTCGTGCGCAAACGTATGATAATGCTGCCAACATGTCTGGAAGATATCGTGGACTACAGGCTCAAATTAAAGATCTAAATGATTTAGCATTTTATGTCCCATGTGTCGCACATTCTTTAAATTTAGTTGGAGATTGCAGTGCAAAAGAATGTTTAGAAGCAATCAATTTTTTTTCAATTCTTCAAAAATTATATGCGTTTTTTGCAGCCTCTACGCATAGATGGGATGTATTATTAAGAAACAGTAAAAAAAGTAGTAAGACTTTAAAAAGTCTCTCCGGTACACGGTGGTCTTGTCGTAATGATGCTATTGAAGCATTAGCTGGTAATTATGATGAGATATATAATACGTTATCTGACATTTCTAAAGATATGAATGAAAATGCTGACACTCGGCATGATGCCAATTCAATTAAGAAAAAGTTAATAAAATTAGAAATAGCTTTTATGACTATTTTTTGGAAACGTGTTCTAGGCAGATTCAATGCTACAAGTGTTTATTTACAAAGAATTGAAATTGATATGGTCACTGGTAATAGCATGCTACAATCGTTGATAACATTTGTTGAAGAACTCAGAAATGATTTTGACGCAATTGAAGATGAAGCAAAAATATTGAGTCTCTCGGTTAATAAAGAATGGTCTAATGGAGGAAAAAACAAACGTAAAATTATTCAAAAATATCCGGATGGTACTACATGTCATGAGAGTTTAAAAGGTAGAGATATATTTAGAGTCAACACTTTTTTTGTTATCATTGATAAATTGCATACCGAATTAAAAAAACGTAGCTCAGCTTATGACAATATAACAAATCTTTTTGGATTTTTGACTCGCTTGGACGTGATTGATGATAATTTATTGAAAAAATCCGTAAATAATTTAGTCAAAGTTTACTCTCGTGATCTAGAAGAAAGTCTATACGACGAATTGAAACAATTCATTGGTATGGTTAAAGTCAAGGAAGATAATAAATTAATAAAAAAACCCGGTTAACATGTTAAAAATGATTGTTGAAGATAATCTCTCGGGCGTTTTTCCACATATTTATGTAGCGTTCCGAATTTTTTTAAGTATACCAGTTACTAACTGTGAAAGTGAACGATCTTTTTCTGCACTAACAATAATTAAAAATAAATATCGTTGTATGATGGGTGAATCAAGACTGACATCTCTATCTATTCTTTCAATAGAGTGTGAATTGACTATGAATATTTCATTTGAAAATATTATAAGACAATTTGCCCAGGAAAAATCCAGGAAAAAGTTTTTCAAACATAATAATATTATATAAGATTAAAAATATATGTGTATATTTTTTTTATTGCATATGCCGGAAATTGTATAATATGATATAAGAATAAAATGTTATTTAAAAACCATGCTATACTTATTTTAATTTATATTTATTACAAATTAATAAATCAGAAGAAAAAAAAGGAAATTGTTTTAGGTGAAGAGGCCTCAATAAAAGTAATAGCCCCCCTTAAATTATGACCATAATCCGGCCCTGATTTAAACACTGATTTTGAAAGTCAGTTATCAGTTATTATTCGTAACATGGGTAAACCTGGTGTTGAAGTGGTTGACGCTGATAAGTTACGAGAGGACTTTGAAACAGTTTACTTTGGTTGTAAGATTTTGGCTGATGAGTACCTGCCGGAATCTAATACGCACATAGGTTTAAACGATACCTTTATTGAACAGAAACCTAGCGTATCACCGGCTAATTTTCTACCGATTGAAAAGTTGGCTATTCCAAAGTTTAAAGGGGATCCAAAAGAATACACCAGTTTTCGTAACATGTTCGATATCTATATACACGACAATCCACACATAAAACCAGTGTTGAAGTTCGGATACTTAAAACGATACTTGGAAGGAGAACCTTTAAGACTGGTTGGAAATCTTATGTTGACCGATAGGAATTACGAATTAGCTCTATCCCAGTTAAAAGCCAGATATTCCAACCGTCGAATCATTACAGAAAGTCATTTGGATGAACTTTTTAATGCACCTAAAGCTTTCCTTGGAAATGGTATTTCAATTCGAAATTTACTTAATGTAGTTACTGAAACGATCGGTGCCTTAGAAAATCTCACATACGCAGTCGACCAATGGGACCCGATACTCTTACACATGCTACAGAAAAAATTAGACCAACAACTTAGAGCTCAATGGGAGTTATCTGTAGATACCACCGAAGATCCTTCTGTGAAAGAGTTTATAGTGTTTTTGACTAAATTTTGTAAATCAGCCATGACCGGACCGACGAATTCTGTATATGAAAAAAGTAGTACCAAAAGTAAATTTACCAAACCGACTACCTTATTTAGTAGCCAATCAGGAACATATGGCTCACCAGAAAAGACTAGCCAACAGGACCCGCGTGAGAAAAGATCGTTTTCGTGTCAAGTGTGTAAATTATAACCGGGTCATTTACTCGTACACTGTTCTCAGTTTAAAAAAAACAGTCCTAAAGAGAGGCATCAAATTATAAAAGATTTAAATCGATGCTTTTTATGCTTTAGTGAACATTTAGCCAGTCAATGTAAGAGTACCAAATCTTGTGTTCAGTGTGGAAAAAGACATCACTCACTACTTCATCTTAGTGATACTGACAGACCAATAGATGAACCCGAAGCAACTACATCAGCACATGTCACTGTAGCAGCAGCCAAGGTGAAACACTATCATGCGTCCATTTTGCTATCAACGGCCTTAGTGAAAGTGCAAAATGAAAATGGTGAAGTTATAACAGTAAGGGCCTTGCTTGACAGTGCAAGTCAAAGTAGTTTCATTGCGGAAAGTTGCGTGTATCGTTTAGGACTGTCAAGAGAGAAGACCAAAGTTACTGTCCAAGTTCTGTCAGGTACGCAGGTACCGGTAGTACGTGGGAGTACCACTATAACGGTACGTCCGGTTCGTCATGACAGTCCTAAGTTAGAAGTAAATGTCCTCATCTTACCTCGAATTACTGGACCAATACCGACTAACCGGATTCAGATCTCGCCATGGCCAAACATTGAACTTAGCAGATCCGGAATATTACGAACCGTTACCAGTTGATCTATTACTTGGAGCGGACGTTTTCCCCTACGTTGTGTCAGGAGAGAAGAAAGAAGGTAGTATAACTCAGCCAATCGCCTTATAAACTGTGTTTGGTTGGGTATTGATGGGCACAACATCTAATACGCCAACAAAAATGTCCGTCACTATGTGCGCAACCACGGAGTCCGTGGACAGAACGCTTCAACGCTGTTTGGACATTGAAGATGTTCCTACAGTGGTCAAAAGTAGTCCCGATGAAGAAGAGTGTGAAAGAATATATACCACTACTACGTCGCGTCAACCATGTGGAAGATACAAAATCCACCTGCCCTTTAAACCAAATCCACCAGTATTGGGGGACTCAAGAGACCAAGCAGCACAACGTTTATTCCAGCTCGAAAAACGGCTTGAGAAATCTCCGGAATTAAGAAATGAATACAATGAGGCGATGAGGGAGTATTTACGAACGGGACATATGAGAAAAGTAGATCCAACCCTGACTGATAGCCAGGCGTCATATTACATTCCCCATCAAGCAGTTATACGTCCTGAAAGTTCCACCACAAAAATGCGTATTGTCTTTGATGCATCAGCGAAAACATCTTCTGGTAGATCATTAAATGATAATCTCCTCTGTGGACCTAAACTACAACAAGACCTACCGATTATCGTTCTTAGATTCCACCTTCATGCAATTGTGTTTACTTCCGATGTAAAACAGATGTTTAGACAGATAGTCGTCACTGAACCTCATCGACCATACCAGCGGCTTTTATACTGATTCAACTTAAATGAACCTATTCAAGAATATGAGATGAATATTGTCACGTTCGGTCAGAAGTCTTCTCCGTTTCTGGCTATTCGCACACTCCACCAACTTGCGCAGGACGAAGCTGCAACCGACCAAGCAATAAAAACAATTATTCAACGTGATTTGTACGTAGATGACGTCACGACAGGAACAAATACAGAAGAAGAAGCATGCGTATTGCAGCAGAAACTGATCACCTTATTCGCAAAAGGCCAATTTGAGCTTCCGAAGTGGGCTAGTAATTCTGCGAAGTTTCTAGGAAAAATCCCAGAGGAGCACCAACAAACTAGCTCAAAGTCTTTTAATGAACACGGTTCGGATTATACCAAAGTGCTTGGATTAAATTGGGAACCAGCGGCAGACCTATTAAGTTATAAGTATCAACCTAACCCGATAAAATTTAGTAAGCGAGCCATCTTATCGGAAATCGCCAGAATTTATGACCCTCTCGGCTTATTGGCACCAGTTACAACGGATCTTAAGCGACTAATGAAATATCTGTGGATACCCGAGGTAGGTTGAGATCAACCTATACCTGAAGAAGCTGAAACCTTATGGACAAAATACCATGAGGAATTACCAGCTCTCGCATCATTGCGAATTCCACGAAGAGTGACCAGCTCAAATGCGACTTATGCGGCTGCCGTATACTTACGAGTAGTATATATATACCATTCCTGGCACACCTCATAATATATCAGTAAAAGATCACAAAGAAAACAATGTGCAAAAAGATCAGAAAATTGAAATGCAATAATAATAAAAACATTTTTCACAAAAACTTAATTATTAAAAATAAAAATCGAAATGCAATAATAATAAAAACATTTTTCGCAAAACTTATTAAATACAAAAACCCCCAAAATATTTTTCATAATACTTATGATATTAATAATTAAAATCGAAATGCAATAGAATATTTGTAAGTTAGGTATATTAATTTAATTTTTAATAGAACTAATATTAGTGAATCTGTATCTGTATATAACAATCTAACTCTATTTACATATTTTTTCTTTATAATATTATAATAAAAATCATACATTAACATTTTAGATAAATCTAAAATACACATTCCTACATATATTGGTTGTTTGAAAGATATTTGTGTTCTTTTCATATGTACGGCAGCTAAATTTTCTGTAAAAATTGTCCTTCGATCAAAATTTGGTTTTATAATTAATTTTTCCAGTTGGGCTGCATTAGAACATAATTTTATATCAACATGATTTCGAACATTCATCATAGTACGTCCATAAACACTATTATTCATTAATTTGAAAAATTCTTTTTCAAACTCATTCTTAGCTTCTGATCTAAGATTAGTATTAAAATCAATATAAACTTTTAACCAAGGAGATTGACTAAATTCTAACACTCTATGAATTTTCTCTATCTTTAAACCTAAATTAATATATAATTTTAGTGTTTCATAATGTATTATATATTTTTTCTTATCATACAAAGTTGTTAATCATTTTGGGAGTTGTTTGTTATCAAAATGTCTTTCTGGTGCTAAAGGGAAATCTGAATGTAGATCATGAAGTTCTTTAGGGTAAGATAAATCAACTTCTAAAATACATATAACCTTTACATGATTTATCAGAAATATTCATTACATCAAAATCATTCAGATTATCAACCCATTTGAAATCTCCAGTAGGTAAATATTTACTCATTGCCCACCCATAAAGATTATTTGCATCCAAGTATTCTAAAAATATGGATTCCTCCTTTTTTAAAATTTATCTCCCATGTATTTATTATTTGCTTTTGAATATCTTTGACTACATTGAGATAAGCCACCTCTGATTCCAGATTCAAACATCAATAATTAATCGACATCTGTTAATAAATCTAATTTTACTTTTTCATTCTTAACATGTAATCCCACGCAAATCCTGGTGTTGTGTAATACCACAGAGGATCTAATTTATAATTTTTTAAAGAAATGTTTCTAAAATTTTCTATTATATCTGTTAACAATAAAACATCAATCTCATTATATAAACTAGTGAATTCACGCATATTTTGTATATTAAACACTTTCCAAATTTTCTGTGAGTTTTCATATTCCTCTTTAGTTATATTTTTATCAGTGAGAGAACTATAAAATTTTTCAATAGGAGGTAAACATGTTTCATTAAACTTTTCTTCACAATCCATATACTCATAGGGATATGCTAACTTTCTAGTAACTAAATCTAAATGTTCTTCAGGAAAATATTTACTAAGTTCTTTAAATTTATTTTTTAAATTTAATTTTGAATCATTTCTTAAATTATTTGTTAACTTTTCTAAAGAACTAGGTAAAAATTTGAATGAATCTATTAATCTTAATTCTATACATATTTTTATGTTTTTATCTTTCCTAATTACTACACGTGATATCATTTTTGAAAAAGAAATATATTTTTCCTCATTATTAGCGAGCAATTTTATTCTTTCATTATCGTTCCCAAATTCTTTTATAAATAGATGGGCATCATAACCTGAAAGATTATGAAAAACAATTGGAATAAAACTTGGATTTTGGAAATTAAGATTACAGATAGAATGTGCTGCTCCTCTATAATCTCCAGTTAAATGGTCATGATCCCGAACTTTTCGCATATTTTTATTTTTGTTTTCTAATTCTTTTTAAGTGTATCTTCATACAATTTTAATTTTTTAACATCATCAATATTTTCATAATGTTTAATATTGTCTTTAATTATTTTAAGGTTATCTTCATACAATTTAAAATTTTTAACAACATCAATATTTTCATAATATTCAATAGCATCTTTTATTTTATTTTTTTCTTCATACAATTTTAATTTTTTAGTATCATCAATATATTCATAATATTCAATAGCGTCATAAAATTTTAATTTTTTAAGATGATCAATATTTTCATAATATTCAATAACGATATTAATTATTTCAAGTTTATCTTCATACAGTTTTAATTTTTTAACATCATCAATATTTTCATAATGTTCAATAGTGTCTTTAATTATTTTAAGTTTATCTTCATACAATTTAAATTTTTTAACATCATTAATATTTTCATAATGCTCAATAACGTTTTTTATTATTTTCTCTAATATTGGAGGTAAATCTGATAAATATCTTACACAAATATGACATTTATCAGATTTATTATAATTATTATTTAATTGTTCTGCATTCAATGTTTTCATAGGAACTATTTTATCATATAATTCAGAAATAAGTATTTCTTCATTTTTCATACATTCATAAAATACTTGAGCTACGTTTGGACCAGAATATTTTACAGGAGGTTTATAATCACCATTACTATATTTAATATAATAACAAAAATTATTAGGTATATGTTTCTGATAACAATTTGTAAATGACTCTCTATCATTTGGTTTACATGCGTAGATTGGTTGAAGTGTAGCTTCAAAGTCAGCAAAAATCACAAAAGGAACTCTTAAGGAATGATTATAATTTTGAAATTCTAAAGTTTTATTATAGGGTTCTGGTAGAACTATTTTAGCAGCTTTATTATTATTACAATAATGTTTATGGTCATTTAACTTATATTCTTTATCAAAACTACTTAAACACATTTTACACAAAAATCTTTTATGAGTATCTTTTGTAAATTGACTTCCTATTAGAGTCCATACATCTTTAATCCAACAATTATGTCCTTTATTCACATTATCCTCATCAACCGCTGTTAAATATAATAAATCTATATGATTAGTTTTTTCGATTTTACTTATTTCTAAAGGTACAATTACATTTTTATCTAAACAATAAATATTAATAGAAATATCTTTTGTTCTTTTAACAAATTTCGGAACGTCTGTGATTTTTACTGGAAATTCAATATCTTTAAATTCTTTATCAAATTCATTTTTAAAGCGAATATATTTAGTTACTTTTTGTATATTTTTTTTAACAGGGTGTAAAGCAGAGAGTATTGCCCAAAGAAAACATTTATCATCTTCATTTTTAACATTTATAATACCCTTTTTATTACTAATATGTTTAGATAATTTAATATATGAAGAACCCTTAAAAGGAACATATTTATTTATATTTATTCCCAAACTTAAAATTTGATGAAGTATCCATTGTGAATTTTTCATTACAAAATCTTCTTCTTCTTTTACAATTTTAATTTTTGCATTTGTATAAAATTCATTTAAGTTAGAATTTTGTGTTAAAATTTCATTTTGTGTCTTAAAATTACATTCTTTATATTCCATATTTTCTTCATTAGTACCTCTCTTATATATAGCAAGAAACATAATATTAATTTTTAAATTTCTCTTCTTTAATTCGTGTTTAACTCGTCCTATTACTGGATTATCTAAACGATTTAAAAATGTTTGTATATCTTTAATACCCATATTATTTTTAATAATATAAGTTTTTAATCTACTTTGAAATGCTGTTTCTTTATTTTTTAAAATATGTCGAATAGTGTTGTTTTTTTCAAAAATTTCTTCACTAAAATTGAAAACTCTATGTGGTTTGGGTATTATCTCTCTTGATATTCTTGGTCTTATACCATTGTTTTGATGTCGAATAGATTGTACATGTTTAGACCAACTGTTGTATTTAACTGTTATTTTTAACAAATATCACAAGTTTTATCTATTTTTGGTATTCTCTCTTGTCTTGTTCTTACATTTGTTGTTGTTGTACCTCTGTATGTTCGGCTAAATCGAGGTATAATTGTTTGATCTGGATCATTGTTTTGATGACGAATAGATTTCAAATGTCTAGACCAATTTTTGTAACTAACTGTTAAGTTACATTTATCACAAGTTTTGTTATCCATTTGATTATTGTTAACATTTCTTTTAAAATTGATTTCAATTTTTTTATTTTCCATTCTTTATTATATAGAATATTATTTTTTTTACATTCAATTTTTTAATAAAAATAATTTTTATTAAAAATTCTATTTAAATAATATTAAGACCCCATACTAAATTCACACATTTTGATATTTCCTAAATCTTGAACAATCTTAATATTGTCTAGATAATAGTGATTATAATCACCTGTTGCAATAATTTGATCATTGGCTATATGACAAAATTCTAACCAAGTTGGTGAATGTAAATAGTTTAGAAATATAAGGATTTCCATCTCCTTGATTAATAATAAAAATATTTCCTTCAATCGGAATTTCATTTAGATTATATCTAACATTCTCAGAATTTTCAAAATATTCTAAAGCACAAAATTTCACATAACATTTATTTTTTTTTATACTTTTTTTTATATCATTTTGCATTAATTTCGAAAAATTAAAATTTTTTAGTCTATATTGATTAATTGGTATACCCTTGTATTTTTTATAAAGTCTACAAGGTAAAATTGTTTGATCTATATCATTTTTTTGATGACGAATAGTTTTCAAATGAGCAGACCAACTTTTGGAACCAATTTTTAAATTACATTTATCACAAGTTTTAGCAGGATATATTTTTTTATTTAATACACCCATTTTATTGTAAGTACCAATTTCTTTAATTAAAGATTCAATT